AGAATCTCATTTGGATTCCAATCTCTGAGACTAAAGCCTCGTGTTTGATTTGGTTGAACACATCTTGGTCATGCATCTCCGGATAATCAAGACGAGATTTGTACCAAAATTTGTAGAACTCGATGCTTCTATGGTTTGATTTCACGTAAGTGAATCCTCCGTTTACCCAATTGTCTGAGTCATTAGGATCACCAAAGAATCGATCACATGCCATTTGAAAATCTCCATCAGGGTATAGCCGAGGAAATGGATCTCGAAGCCACATTATATCTGCATCCTAAATATATAAAAGGGAAATAATTAAAATAACATCGTTATGTAATTAATATTTTAAAATTAAAAATAGCATTTAGTTGACACTTAATTTTTTTAAAATAAAGTGTAACAGGGCCTTGTTCAATTTATTAAATTTAGACAATAGTTTACTTTAAACTTTTTAGACATAGTTTATATATAAATTTTGTTACAGAGTCACGTGCTAATGCAAATGTAATCATCTTCTAAGTATCACTTCTAGATTAATTACTTGATCAAAAATTGATTCAAAAGATGAAGATAATACCGTGAAGATGAAGTTGTAACCCATTTCTAGCACTTGTGTAAGAAGCTCGATTCTTCGCCACATCATTTTGAGGTAATCAGGAGTAGCAAAGAGTTTCTCGCCGGAGAAATCAGTCCCTTTGGTTTCCAAATGGTAGCAATTAGGGTGAAGTTTTGAGCAGCGATCAAATGCCTTGGAATCCAAGCAAACCACAACCACATGTTGAAGTAGCTTCTGTGTTCCTTGTCCGATACGAAAACTCTCAAGAAATAGATCGAACAGAGAGTTTGGCTCTGCCCATGCTTGGTTCAACGTTGTTACAATAACTGTTCGATTATCTGTCGACGCATTCTCCAGAACTTCCCTAAAACTGATTGATTTTGATCTCTGAAAGAAATAAAAATAACAAATTCTATTAAAATCACAAGAAAGAGATCAACCCCATTTCAGACAGAACATGGATTGAGGCATATACAAGTACATATCTATGTAAAGTGGTAATTAATAACTCACTGTTTGTGAAGAAGACGAAGAGGTGTGATCGAGCAAAGGACGAGGAGAGCTGAGATTGTCGACATCGAGCTCTTGACTAAGAGGATAAGCTGTTTTGTAAAGAAGAAGACAAGCAGCTACACCTAGAAACAAAACCAGGATTCTCTTTACTTCTTTTTGTCCGATGGCAGATCCCAAATCAAGAAAACTTGAAGGGGAAGAAGAAGAAGAAGAGTTCATGTGTTCTTGAGGGGGTTCCTGGGTTTAAAGCCTTTCTTTCGTTTTCTTCGTTCTTCTCTCTGTCTTTTTTTTGTCGGTTCTTATAATGATGTACAAAAGGTCAAGGGAAACGTCATCACTGGCAGTTTTGTAAGGGCGTTGTTCTTGTTTTGTCAGATTATTTATTTATTCGTAGCAATGATTTTTTATGAATGAATTCTTTTACCAAGTCTTTTTCCATCTGAAATCAATTCTTGTTTTTATTAGAGTGTAGAGAATCAAGAGAACACACCAACTCCAAATTATATATTCAACTGGTTTATAAATATCTACCCAAATGATAGAATCGTGTAAGAGTATTAAACTGTGAATACTACTAGTCAGATGATGGAAAAAAAAGTGCAGAAAAAAGACAAAGAGAAACATGAATGACCCGAGAGAAGAAACATGTTTTGGTGGATGAGAGACCGACAGAATAATTTAATTCTTCTTTTGTAAAAAAAAAAAATACAACCATAACTTTTTTTTAATAACATTATGTATAATAGCTTAATTAGGAAAAATTATCTAGCGAATCCACCATATATATTACTAATATATAGGTATCAAAATATAATCATATCCATAACTTGGAACATACTAATCTCGTCAAAAAGATTAGAGAAAAAACAAGTCACTTTTCAGAAAATTCAAAATTGTATCATTGAAACTTGGGAGATTGACACAAATAGCCCCAAAAAAATTGTTTTTTCCAAAAATAGCACCTCATTTGAAAAGTTCCACAAATAGCACCATAAACTTCAATTAAACTTAATGAAAATATAAGATATAAAATAAAAAAGAGATCAAACACTAATCTAATATTGAATTGAATCAAAATTGTTTTTAAATAGTGGAAATATATACCCTAATTTGGAAATAGGGAACCCAAATATAATACCACAAACTAATATTAAAAATAAAAATCTTTTTTAAATAGTGGAAATATATACCCTAAATTGGAAATAGGGAACCCAAATATAATACCATAAACTAATATTAAAATGAATCAAAATCTCTTTTAAATGGTGGAAATATATACCCTAAATTGGAAATAGAGAACCCAAATATAATATTTTAAATTTATTTCTAATTTATTTTGTTGAATAGCTTTTATATAAAAATTGTGGTATTATTGAAAAAAAAACTTGTGATAAAATTTTTAGAACAAAAACACTAATAGTAAGTTAACTAGTGCTATTTTTGGAAGTTTATGGAGTGTGTGCTATTATTGTCAATAAAACTTGTTTTAGGGCTATTGTTAGGAATTTCTCTTGAAAATAATTGGGCCCAATTTTTTTCGAATGCATAGTAGTAAATACTTTTGGAAACAGTAGTTTTATGATTTTATCTCAGCATTCACCCAATATTTTATTCATCTTAATTGAATGACAAGTTTAATTCTTCCATTATAGTGACAACACGTGTCTTTTTATTCTGTTAAACACGCTAACGTTACTAGTCGTGGCTGACGTTAAATTTTTAATTTATCCCCTTAATCTATTTATTAAGTGAATGAATCAATTGATTTCTTTGATTAATGAATAGACTAGGAGGAAGCGTCGAATTCTAAATGCTTCTCCAATCAACTATATTAATTTGTCTACCAAACAAAAAGAAATGAATATCAATTAGTGATAAGAATTGTTAAAAAATTATTAAAAAGGAATTACTGATAAGGCTAGTCTTTAAAAAAAACATAAGGCTAGTCTAACTCGAATACCGTTTACCAAAAGAATAGACTAGTCTAAATAAAACTGTGTACGATTTGATTTTTCATTTTTATTAGAAAGTAATGTATGAACTTTTCATTTATGACATTGTATATAATTGACTGAAACTCTTCATCAAGTGGTTTTAGATTACTACTACATGATTGGCAAAAAAAAAAAAAAAAAAAAAAAGATTACTACTACATGGGTTTAGATCGTGGTATTTAGGCATTTTACAACTCCAACTCAAAGTCATGCCTTAGAACGATAAATCGTTGATGATGTGTAGTTAATCTTTTTTTTTTGGATATATACCTTTTTTTTACTTCATGGTTTGGACCTTGGATTACTTCCGAGTTACTATTCTTTTATATACCAACAAGATTACAAATTAAGTTAGCTTTTTTGAAGTAAAGCATTATCATTCATTTTCGATATAATCTATATATATTAAGAATATATTTAGTATGATAAAATTATAGTTTTTTTTGTTAAACATAATATTAAAATTATAGTTTGCAAACGTATTATAAACGAAGAAAGTGGGGAAAAAACGAAGAAAGTATATTCTGTTTTGAAAACTGTTTCAAATAAGTTTTTATAAAACTCTACAGAGATCAAATTTTCTTGGTTAAGAGTTTCTTGTCCTTTCAAATTTTTTTTTTGGTTGCACCGTAGCTTTCACCTTATTATGTATCAACACTGTAGTCTGTAGTCTACAACATATGCTATTAGGAATTTTTTTTTTCTTTCCCAGTTTGTTATATTAATATACGAATTGAATGATAATTTAATACAAGGGCCAAGGTTTGCAGTTGTACAATTGTCTTCTAATATGATTTCCCGCCAGCGAATCAAAGACTAAGACCGTACCTTGTTCTACACATTTCAACAACTTGGTTTTCTAACAATAATGAACTAATTTGATGATTTCACCACTCTTTAAATGTACATAATAAAGAGAATCCATATCTGAAATCTCGAAGTAGTTTTTAGATATGTGAAAGAAAAAGTACTAATTAATCTTATCATTTACAATATTTATAATGATTTACCAAAATCAAAAGCGTAGTAAAACCATTTTTTTTTTGATAGTGTGAACCGTGACAATTTTTAATAGTACTTGTGTTTTTTGAACAACTTAACATTTTTTTACTTCAATTATTTGAGGAATAATAGTATAATACAACAGTAGAAACTCATTTTTAAATCCCTACAACCTTACAGATATTTCAAAATCGGGCCTGCTTATAGATTACAATAAGGACGTTTCACCATACGTTTGAGAACACTATAACAATGAACAAGCGAGGTCAAAGTATAGGTTTTTGCCGACACAATTAATAATTACAGTATAAAAGATAGTACTCCCTCCGTTTCGTTTAGTTGTCGTTTAAGGTTTTTTCACACAAATTAAGAAAAACATTAAATTTTCTGTTTTACACTTTATTGATATATTTTATAAAAAATTTCATTGGCCAAAACATTAAAACAGTAGGGATAAAACTGGAATTTTCACCAAACATTTGCATTGAAAACCTAAAACGACAACTAATATGAAACAAAATTTAAATCCAAAAACGATAACTAAACTGAAACGGAGGGAGTACTATATTAACTGCATTATCTATTATGTTTCGTGTCAAATGGACTAATAATGGAGTATTTTTGTTCTTGTTTCTAATTATGACATATGAACTATATCTGATAGCTGTGATTTTTTACTTTTATTGTCTAAATCTTTCATCTGATTATATAAGTTCTTGCGTCATCATATTAATTTTATTTCATATTAATTATTTGAATATATCTATAAAAAACTATTTGAATTATATTAAATACACTTCAAGAATAAAAATATTAAATTTATCAAACAATAACAAAATATGTTGCAATTGCAAGATTTTTAAATATTCGGATCTACTATATACCTACATATCCCACATCCCCACTATTTTAAAGTAAATATAAACTAGAGGTTCACCTTAAGAATTTCTTATAAGTTTAAATATTTAATACTTTCAAATAACAAAAATGTACTATCTCAACACTAAATATAATTAGGAAACAATAAACGACTTCAATAACCAACGAAACTATCTTAACGTACGAAACTAGTTTCATATATCTACTCTTCCGACCTTTAATAACCACACCTAGGCGGAATATTCCATTTAGTCTCGGACACGGTTGTGTTAAGTGACACATATCGTTTCCAATCTTCGAGAGCTGCCTTAAGATTATTCACTTTGTTGTCCAAGCCAATACAACAATTAGCATGCATTGTGTTGACCACATTGATGTCTCGGCTCGGCTGGCAAAACCCTCCAAAGTAAACGGTGTCGAAAAACCTCATCTTTATCCCAAGTTTCTCGATGTGATGATCGTTTTTTATGAAGTTGAACACATCTTGATCGTGTTTTCCAGGAAATTTTCGACTCGATCTAATCCAGTATTTGTAAAATTTTGAAGTTTTGTTGTTTGCCTTGACGTATGTAAATCCAGAGTTCACGTGATTCTTTTTGTCTGATGGTTTTCCATTGTAATCATCGCATGTTATTTGAAAATCAGCATCCGGGAAAAAACGGGGAAATGGGTCTCGAAGCCATAATATATCTGCATCCTATATACAACAAACTTATCATTTATTTACATATAGTTTATAGATAGTGCACATTCAGAGTATACCAATTAAGTCATTAGATCGAAGATATGTATATATCGGTAGAAAATAACTGTAACTATTGCAAATTTGAAGTTTCAAAAAAAAAAAGAACTAATACAAATTTGGAACTTTTTTAAGTTGTGATGATGACGTCAAAAAACATTTTGGTCGTAAAGAAAACAATCTGTAGTGATATAACAATCACGGTATATAACATGATTATTTATTTTATTTTTTGTAACACGTTTTGTTGATTACGCAACCTCTATATATCGCTATATAGTTGACAATTAGTCTAAAAAACCAAACAAAGAAACACACGATAGTCAAATCTAAAGGCTCAAGGAAAAGTGTAAGATCTAACAAAAGGACAATATTTCAAACAAGTCATATGCACAATTAAACGGTGTTCTCTATAGTTGACATATAGATAATATTTCATAAATTAACTTTTCATTTTTATGTATAATCGAATTTTATGTATTATTTAAAACTTCAAAAGTTTATACATGCCACAAAACATTGTAATTCTAGATTTTTGGTATGCCTATATCCAATACTAAGATTTTGTAGCTACTAAATAATTTGTCTTACGATATTATCAACAATTTTGTTGTTGTTTATATCATATAGTTAAAAAAAAGGGTTGAAACAGCTTAGGGATGGCGCGTAATCTTTTCTAATTCAACGTATAGAAGTCAGTAGTTGCAACTTTGAAGAAAAAAGTTATAAAGAAAACATATACTAATTAATTACGAATAAAATAATAAGAGAAGGGGATTGAGATATTATGTACCGTGAAGATGAAGTTGTACCCTAAACCAATAACTTGCCTAAGAAGATCCATTCGCCGCCAAATAAGTTTCAAGTAACCAGGCGTCATAAACCGATTCGGACCAGAGAGTTGGTCTGAATCGGTAGCGTTGATCAAGTAGCAATGAGGATGAACCTTTAGGCACTGATCATATGCCTTGATATCCAAGCAAACCGCGATCACATGCTTCAACAGCCTCTCTGTTTCTATTCCAGCTTTAAAACTCTCTCGAAACACATCGAAAGTTGAGTTTGGTTCGGCCCATGCTTGGTTTAACGCCGTTATGATCACCGTGTTATCCTCCATAGCCGCATTCATCAATACCCTCTCTAATTCTGAAACCGGCTCCTTCTTTTGTTCCTAGAAATATCGATTTATTTAAGATTGATTAACATATCAACATGACGCGTCTGAAATGGAATTTTCATCTTTTTAATGTTCAAGACTAGAGAGATCAGGATTTTTTATTTCTGGAAAATTTCTTTCTTTACGTATGGAAGATTGTAGATTCGAGTGATTAGTCTGATGAAATGGAATCTAACAATTTTGATAAACCAAACAATGTATCAATAACTCCATGAATAATCTTCGTGAATGTATTTTAATTACCAATAAATACGTTATACACATATGACATATGTATCTATATGAAATATACTCACCACTTCTAAGGAAGTCTCATTCATGAGTTTTGAAGCATAACAATCGGCCTTCCATGGAGACAACACCATGTTGAGTGGATTATTTGCAGACTTGTAGAATAATAGACAAGAAAGTGTCACGGTCGTGACCAATAGCACGATTCTAATCACGTCTCTCCCTCCGAACAAACCATCGGAATATATCACCGGCGGCTTAGATTTTCCGTCCTTGGTGCTAACTTCGGCGAACTCGTAACCCAATGAAGGAGATTCGCCGTTCGTGCTCTTGATCATGGTTTCGGCTATGAGTCCTTTTTTCCTTCTTTGTACGTGTTACTTATATTATATAATATAAGTTATATAGCCTCATTTCATCCCCATTCAATATTCTTGATTTTTCTTTGAATGTTATTTTCTATTTAATTATATAACTTAACTTGTGAAGAAATTTGTAACGATTATTGTGATTGTAACTTGTGAAGATATTTTTTTCCTCTCGCATGGGAAGTTTCCTTTGAATATATCCGAGTTATATTATGACCAAACCGGTTCATATCTTTTACCGGTTCGGTTTTGTTGTGTCTTGAAATAAGCATAATTAAACCCTACAAAAGAAAACTATATAATACTCGAACAACTTTGTTTTTATCCAATTTAATTATGAAGAAAATATGAGTGGCACGACGAGAAAAGTAAACGATTTTGATTTTATGACAATCACGTTCTAACGAACGACTGCAAAATTGTATTTGAGTTAGATTCTTCATATTGGTCGATTAGCGAGACTAAGATATTAAACTAGTGATTAGTGGCTTAACTAAAAATATAATTACTAAACCAAAATCTAGGAGATCGTACTAATTCGGATTCTTGGTAGACGTAATTCTATCAAATTTCCTCTAAGGGAAACATAATTTCTTAAATTTGGTGGATAGGTTCCGTTCCCAATTTTGGTATAATGTGCTACAACATCGGGTTCAGCTGTAGGGACTTAATTGGTTAATCACTACCAGCTTAAACCGTCTGATTTAGGAACCGCATCGTAGTACAATTACGTATTTAGCGTTTAACTAGAAAAAATGTCTAAGAAAAATGGCAATTGTGTATACTTGTTTCTATTGGTCCTATAGTTGAATTTGCGTAGGAAAATGTTGAAAATTGATTATAATGTTGACCTCTCCCAAATAAAATATCTTTTTTTTTTTTTTGTAGATATTCACCTCCTTTATGGTTGTAAATTGAATCAGACTATGTTGTGAGTTATCAAAGCACTAGTATTTTTCCCGTACTACGTACGGATACAGTTATAATAGACATCAATTTTTCCTATTTACAATTAGTGTGACAATAAAACGTGATTCAAAATCTAGAAGTTGTAAAAAGGAAAAATAGTAACCTCAAACTGTTGATTGAACTTCTGATTAAAATATGAGTATCTATATAGTTTTTAGGCTTCAATTGTATATTATTTTGATAAACGTATCTTTGAATTTTTAATTGCTGAAAGTTGAACAACAATTAGAGTTGTTTTCTCTGATCAATACTTTGGTTGAAAGTTATTTTCTTTTGGTATTTATTTTCTTGGTACAGTTTTTTGGTAGAACTCATAGAAACTCATAAGTAGAATTCTATTGATCAGTAGAAAGAAGTAGAAGAAGAACATTGCACAAACTTGTTTTTTTACCATTATCGTAAGTAATCATGTTCAATATATAATTATAACAGAAAATTAATCATGTTGAAGAAATACATGTGTTTTATTCTTCTAAAAAAAGTCACACTTGTTACAACTAAAAAAAAATAATAAACTTTATGTGAATTCTCTTTCACCCACCATCTAATGCAACATGAAATTCAGATTTAGTGATAACCGTATAGGATCATATATGGATTGGTGTCTTTGGTGGTGGAGAATGTTTGTTCGTCATACTTAATTGAAGGTTTCGTTGAACCAAGTTCCAAGCAGCAGCTTCTCTGCATAACATCTTTCATCTCTTTTCTGCCACCAAATAAGAGAGATCTCAATTTAAAACCAAATGAATCAAGCCTAGTTTTTAAGGAAGTATATGAAATAAAGTAAAGCTAAAGATTGAAAAAATTATTACCTCAAAGAAGAAAGATAAAGAATGATTTAGGCAATTATACGGCTAAATTGCCTCTGCTAAATGCCAATGTCTCTTGTTAGATGTTGTATACACAGCGAACACCAGTAATGATTGAAAGAGTCATCCAGTTTTGCGTCGTCTTTAGATTTGAGAAAGAGAGTCAGCACAAGTGAGAAGAAGAGAGTGCGTTCGTCTAGGGAGAGAAAAAGCGTTTTCGAGTCTTTTTAAAGACGAAGAGGAAGCGGTTAGATGAAAATCGTGGAGTAGAAACGGCGACAATATGGGATCGTGGAGAAGAGGAGGACAATAATTTAGAAAAAATTTGGTGTTAAATGATGTGGCAAAATATGATCCGTTACCTTTGCCTTTTTTTCCTGATAAATTAGCCATATGTCAACATTTTATTGCACAGTTTTTCTATAACGATCTCAATTTTCTTTAACAGTTTTTTATGTGATTTAAATTATGAGAAAAGAAATCTAGTTGGCAAATTTTGATTGGCCAAGTGACTTGTGCTTTATAATATAAAGGATGTGAAACATTTATATAGTCTTAAATATAAATATGGTCATCTAAAAGCAACTACATATATAAAGTTTGCAAATAATTAATGTCTGTTCTTAATGTAATTACTAAACTGTTATAAATTTTGTGGAAATAAAAATTAACTTTTTACCTGAAATGATTAATAAAAAAGGTGATGTGGACAGAACAACTAAACATTCTTTTTTTTTTTTTTTGTTCTGTGCCTTCTCTTTTACTATCTACAGCTATTGGTAATCAAGATTGCTTCTTGGGCGTGATTGGATTGCGGCAGGACTTCTAAATACATGTAAACACTTTCAATGGTATAATCTTAAATCTGGTATCCTTTTATTTCCCTTTATCTGTAATCCTTTTACAAAGAAGAAAAAAAAAATTAAACATAAAAGACTTGTCCAACGTTTAAAAGGGTTTCATGAGGAACATGCAAGATAACACTATTCTCCCTACAAACCTTAGCAAGAAATGCATAAACATAGTCAATCGCAATCTTTTTTGGAAGCCCTGATCCATTTCTTGCTTTCACCACAGTGTTACCCATAATATGAACAACCCCTGACTCTTTACAAGTCTTTAGAAACTCCAACTCATCCGTCTCCTCTTCCTCTATGGTGTTGTCCTGACTGAAACTCACCGCGTTATGCGGTGAATCAGAGGGAACTATCGTGTCTAAAGTTGATACAGTGTAGTCCACCATCGATGAGAACATATCCATGTTGTTGTTGTTGTTGTGGTTGTTGTTGTTGTTGTTGTTGTTGTTATGGATCAAGTCTACGGTGGAATCTTGTGTATTGTTGACGGAATACGTGCTGCTGTAGGTGCTTGAGTTTGAAGCTGGCTCCATCATAGTTTCGATTCGAATGAATGAGAAGAGGTTAGTCAGCAGTTTGTTCTCGAAATCATCGTCTTTCTTGTGTAGATCTTTGTAACCATATCTGTTAAAAAAAAGTTTGAGAGATCTTAATGTTCTTAGAGAGAACTCTTTTTCCATAAAGAATATGAATGTTATGGTGGACAGAAAACCCGCTAATCAAGTTTGGGCCTAAATCCTAAAATCATGGATGGAAGCAGACTTGGGTCGAATAGGGTCTGGCTCAAAACTCCCCTGGCCGGTTTAGCCCATCAAAAAACCCTACTTAAGGACAGAGAAGAAGAAAGGACAGTACCTGGCTACGCAGCGGAACATTCGGAATGTTTTTGGTCCGATTCTCTTCACAAGAAACCTCTCTTCTTCAGGGACGGTGTAAACCGGAAGGTACTTGACGCAGACAAAGACTACAACCGAATGAATTGCGGGGAGGTTGGTGATGAAATGAGAGAAAATGTGAGGGACACCACTTGCTAATTCCGTGTAGACTAACCCGACCCCAGGGACACGGACAAGCCCGAGGCTGGGACCGAGGCCTAGTATCCAGCTCATGGACACTTTGCTGTGCATTTCAAACTCATATTTCTTGACAGTTGCATAATGCCATACTGACATTACGAGAAGAGATATCGCTGCTATGATGAGCGGAACCCATCCTCCTTGATCGATCTTAAAGATCACGGCTGAGAAGTACGATAATTCCACAAAGAGGGAGAGAACGGTGAATATAAGGACAAGGATCCAGTGGCAATGCCACACGAGCAGCATGATCAACACCATTAGCAATGTGGTCACAAGCATCACGAGAACAACCGCGGTCCCTAATTCATGAAGATACCAAGACAGTCAATAAACAGTAAGAGCGGATGGTTCATTTAATAAAAATTTATATGATTATTAACTTAGAACGGTTAGTTAACATAACAATAACGAAAATGATTATTCTTGTATTAACATTCTACATCTTACCATATGCATTTCCGATTTGGCTTTGATTCTTGAAACTAGCAGTAACCGCGATGCAGCCGAGCATGAGTATCCAATTAATATCAGGGCAATAGATCTGACCGAGGAACTTCTTAGAAGTATGAACAATTTTAACTCGGGGAAAACACCCATGCGCCACGGCCTGCTTGATTATCGAATAAGTCCCTGAGATCGTAGCTTGGCTCCCGACGATTGCAGCTCCTGTCGCGACTACAAACATTGGCCAATATACACTATCTGTGGAGTCAAAGCAAATGAGAGTTTCATTGTTTTATAAGAGTACTATGCATGACTTCAAGACCAGTAAAGCTTTAAAAAGGTTTAGGACAAACTCGGGATAGATGCATAGAACGCGTCTTGATAATGTTCCTTATGATTTACAAGATACGCAGCTTGTCCGCAGTATGCTAGAAGAAGACAAGGGAACACAAACAACGTAAAGGCGAGCTGTATTGCTAGTAACGGGAAATAAGCAATGTCTGCGTATAGTGCCTCCGTGCCTGCAATATTCAAGAAGTAACATTTAGATGGCTTTAAAATGAATCTCTTGGAGATTTAAAGGTGTATAATCAATTACCTGTTATGCTGAGAAGAATGCCTCCAAGCGATATCCAACCATCAAGACCTCGTCTTTTGAAGTACAAGTATATATGTGGGCGAAAACGCTTTTAAAACGCTTGTGTCATACTTGCAGATGTTGTATATCCCAGTGGATCCAATGAAGAGGAACCAAATAAGCACGATAGGCGCAAAGAGCCATCCGACTTTGTCTGTACCGTAGTGTTGCATACTGAACAATCCTATCAAAATGACAACTGACACAAGCACAACGATATCTGCAAAGAGAAAAGTAGCAAGTTAACAAAAAAGAACCGATCAGAAACCTGAATTGACATAAGGTGAAGTGAATGTTACCGCCGCTCATATTTGGTTTGATGACTTTGATCCCACCAGTTGCCGAAAGAACTGTAAAAAGATGATTTTGCAAACTATTATCATCTTTTTTGTAAACCTTAAGGAGAAAGAAAGCAAAGAAACTTACCGGAGATGGCTGGAGTTAAGATCCCATCACCGATCATCATACAAGTACCGAGAAGAACAATGACCAGAAGAGCTCTCTTCCTCCAATGTTTACCCTCCAACCACTTCTTGGTTTTAGCAGCAAAAGACCCTTCAGCGGATACAGTTCGACTATAAGTCGTGAGATCCTCATCACTGCGGTGCTGATTCGGGATTAGTTTCACTTTAGCATGTCTACAAAGCAAAGAGTATATCGCTAAAGTCCCACCTGCAAAACAACATTGACCCATCCGAATGAGCATACACCAAAACCAGTTGGTTCAAAACATCGATAAACTGCGGATTTAACCTTACCTTGACCATTATCATTAGCTTTGCAGACAATGAACACATACTTGATAAGAGGTATAAGCAACAGAGAGTAAATAATCAAAGAAAGAGCTCCGATTACATCTTCACTATCATCAATTCCATCAGGGAATGTATTGTAGAACACATACAATGGAGAAGTCCCTAAATCTCCATAAACTATCCCTAGACTTTGAAAAGACAGCCTTAGAAGCATCAACATTGATAAGCCCTGATTAATAAAAACAGAGAAAACTTTAAAAACCACAACTTTCTCTCAAATTCTCAGAATAACCATCAAAGTCTAAAACGAGTACTATTGAGAAAGTAATAACCTTTTCTCTATTCATGTCGTTGAGCTTATTAGCTTCTTCATCCATGGGTTGATCAAGTTTCTGCTCTAATTCCCACATAGCTCCTACTTCTCTTTCTTCAATCGTATTTTCTCCTTCTGTTACAGATGCTTCGACCCTTTCCGCCATTTTTGTAACAACAACAGAACTCGAAATCTCCCCTGAATTGATTCCTTTAATCAGAAACCAGTCAGAGCCCTAGAAATCGATAACCATTTGTAGCAATTATCGACTGAGTTGAGACCAAATATTGAAACTTTTTTTTTTCCTTAAGTATAAGAATTGACTCGAGTTGTTATTACAGAGCAACAACGAACAACTCTGGTTCTGATGGAAATGGATAATAAAGCTAAACCAAACAAAGAAACAAAAAAAACCGTAAATTTTTTTTGTAAATAAAGAATTAAAAAAAAAAACAGAATCAGTCAATCAATTATGATTACAAAAAGAACCCAAAAGGAGAGAATCTGTAACAACTATGAAAATTACACGAAACGAACACGGTTTCAAGAAAGTTGTGTTTTTTTTTGTCTTTTTTGTTTATCTTTCTTTTGAGATTATTATTAACAAAGAAAGAAAGACACAGAGAGTGACCAAAGAAAGAAGAAGAGAGATCGATACAACTTTATAAGTTATGAAGACGCTTACAAAACTGAAGACGAGTGGCACAGAGAGACACGAGCAGTTAAACTCGATTTCTTTCTCTCTCTCTCTCTTTGTTTTTCTTTATCTGCGTTATTTTTTTTTTTTAATTTAAATTTCTTTCATATGTACATTTAATTTCAGATTGCGACATAGGATATATCCGACTTTCGATAAAAAGAATTAAATTCGATTTTATCCTACTTTTTGCAAAAAAAAAAGTACTCAGAATTTATTATTCGATTCACTGTTTGGATATTTTTGTTTACTTTCTTTGTTTTTTGCTTTTTTTTGATACATGTACCAGAAAATCTATTATTGCTTTTGTTGTTGTATGAAAGTGATGTCTCATATAAAGCTGTGAAATGTATATGTGTGGAAAGCTTAAGAAATTTTGGAGGGTAAAAATAATGAAAAAAAATGGAAGGACATAATATAATCAAGTTTCACTAAGCTAAGGAAATATATCTTTTTAGTTTAACATGTAAAATTTAGATTTAGGTTATCGTGTTAGAAAATTTTATTGGTTGACAAAACACCACGTTGTCAAATATATACATAAGAGCATGATTAAAGACAAACTCTTATAGAAATCTTAAGTTTTTCTTAACATTTAATGTAATATAATTTAATGAACTTTGTGCTTTATTGTTAAGAAACGTTCTAAGAGCCCTCTTCTAAAAATCCCCGCCTATCCCGATTACTCCCCGCTTAATCGTTAGGCCCACCCTATCCGTCTCGATTAATGACTAATTCCTTAAAGAAATCAGTTACCCGATTACTCTCCGTCTAATCCGATTACTTCTCGCCTAATTCGATTACTCCCCGCCTAATTTTACATATCCCGATTATTTTTAGATTTCAAGTATAAAAAAACTTTTTATTTTTGTTATTCAATCATTTAAATTGGGAGTTTGTGATATTTTACAATAAATTATGTTCAAATTTTAATAAAAATCATAAATTTCTAAGAACCACATGTTAAGAGCCTACCATTAATCACACAAAAATTTCAACTCAAAAATACTATCTCTTAACAATCACTTTTACACATATATTACTTAAATATTGCTAAGAGATATTTCTAAGATACTATCAATAATCATGCTCTAAGAATAGAAAACACCATTTCAAGATTCTTTACTTACAGTAAGTCTTACACTGATTGAATAAAATGGTTATAAATTGTTTGTTATACTAATTAATTACCAAACAACACTAACCTATAATTTGTTAAGTTGACTATATGTGCTATGGAAAATTAGTGGTGGTTTAATTTCCAAATAAAGTTTCAAGTATACTTATTAAATATTAAGGCCATTGACTCATACTAGTTTCTTTTGTTTTTTATTGGACTTATAATAGTTATGTAGTGGCGGTATCGACTATAATTAATTTTCCCAAAAATTCATCATGGAATACGTGAATATATATATTAGTCCCTATATATACATTATTACATATCTCCTAAAAAGAGAACGTGCATGAGATTAAGCATTTATAGTTATATACAACATTTTTAAAAACTTGCGAATTAACCACATTAATTTAAAATTATCAGAGCTATCAATTAAACTAGTTTCGTATATAAGAAAACTTAATTTAATAACCGTCGGTCGAAGACAGTAGCCACGTTATGAAACTGTGTTCTTGATCGGATCTATAAATAATTCTCTTTATTATTTAGTAACCGATGATAATGACAATACGTCTTTATTCTGCACATTTCTCGTTAAGTAAGACGAGATTATATAATTGAAAAAGAGTACAAGTATACGTTTAATTGATTGATCATTGAACGTAGTGGATATATTCTGAAGAACTCCTACACATGTATGTAAGAAAAATAAGCAAATAGATGGCTTGTGTGCACGTATGCGTGACTGAAATATGCGAACCTCACATTTATGTGTTAATATTGGTACAATTTTATACGGTAAATAAAAAGAAAGGCATATTTCTTTCCTCCTATACTGTTTTTTTTTTCAGGTGGTCGGATTCTTCGTAGTATCTCCAGTTTCAATATATACCGTAAATTATTACTAACAAAACCAGATTTTTTTCAGATAAAACTTAGATCTTTTGATACTTTTTCTTTTTAAAATCAATAATGCATTAATTGGTGATTTGAAAACAATATTTTATCACGTCAACATTCATTTTTGTATACGTTGGAATGTTTTGATAGTTGAAATTTGAAAATGTTAGTTTAAACATTATCGTAGTGGAAAAGACATAAAAAAACATTATCCTAGAAAAAAATAGTTGACATAAAAAAAAAACTAAAAACTTCGTCATCCAACCTATAATTATGACAGGTGACGCATATTCCACTTAAGATCCATTTCTTTTCATGAACTACCATATGAGTAGGACAAAAGTCAATAGACTCAAAACCATTCATATGTTTTTGGCCAATACCCATTAGTTTTGTAGTTCAATTAGGTTCAATCAAGAGAACAAAAAATGATTTTTAAATAATTCAAGGCCATAATCAATTTGAATTATTGCACTAAAGGGACTTTTCACTATAATTAACAGTTTCATAAGATTCTAATATGTGTCCTTTTCAATAAATTAGAAAAACTATGGAAAACAATATTGTAAATTAACATATATTTATATATAAAGTAATCATAAATATTGGAGAAATGAAATATGGTAATTAACATTTTTTTTTTGGTGAGAGTAATTAACATATTGTATATATATAACTAGTATTTTTCTTTTTCTGTTTTTTTCCTTTAAACAGAAAAAATATAGTAGGGAATATATGTTTGGCAAATCGTCTAATTTATTTGCTTTAGTTAAATCTTTCGGCCTTAATGTTGTTGTTTCTTGGGCCTTGACTCTCTTTTTGTGTTGACGACTTCTCATTACAACTTGTTCAAAACCCTAATTTCAGAAGGCGATGGAGAATTTTGGCTAGCATGTGACGTCGTCTTCAAGTAACCCTTCAACCATGGCCACGAACAGCAAAGAGTCGTCGTCACCGGTTAATATTCCATATCTCCCTGATGATATACTATTGAACTGCTTAGCTCGCGTCTCAAGATTGTACTACCCAACTATCTCCTTAGTTTCCAAGAGATTCCGCTCTCTCCTCGCTTCGACAGAGCTTTACGAGACCCGAAAGCTTTTAGGCAGCACCGAGAATTGTCCCTATGTCTCTTTAATGTTCCCTGGCAGCTCTAAGCCACGTTGGTTTACTCTGAGCCGTGACCAACTCGAATCCCCAACCCTAAATCAAGATGGTTCACTTCCTTTTTTAGTCCATGTAAGACTCGCACAACAAGGAGTCTTATGGTGTCGGTACCAAGTCACAGTTTCCCGCCTCAGTCTTATGGTGTCGGTACCAAGTCACAGCTTTTAGGCAGCACCGAGAATTGTCCCTATGTCTCTTTAATGTTCCCTGGCAGCTCTAAGCCACGTTGGTTTACTCTGAGCCGTGACCAACTCGAATCCCCAACCCTAAATCAAGATGGTTCACTTCCTTTTTTAGTCCATGTAAGACTCGCACAACAAGGAGTCTTATGGTGTCGGTACCAAGTCACAGTTTCCCGCCTCAGTCTAGTTGGCTTCCTACAGTAGTCGGTTTTAGTATCTACATGATTGGCGGATACATCAACGGTGAGCCTTCGTCTAGGGTATTCGTAATGGACTGTCGGTCTCACACATGGCAAGAAGCTCCAAGCATGCGGGTGGCTCGGTATCGCCCCCTCGTGAGTGCTGTTGATGGGAAAATATATGTAGTGGAAGGCTGCCATTGTGATCCCTCAGAATTTATGGAGTATTTCGATCCCAAAACCCAGATGTGGGAGCATGTGCCAAGCCCAGGAGCAGAGATACGCGGGTCATATATGCTGGAAAGCCTTGCCAAGGAAGGAAATCTTTACTTAGTGGGGACAAGACTATTGTTTACAAGCCCAAGGAAGATGAGTGGCATGTGATAGGACCAGGAATGCATTTCGGTGGGATTTCAGATTCTTCTTGCATGATAGATAACGTAAGATATTGTTACACTGTCGGATCCGGATCCGCATCGTCTAGAAGTCTTAAATGGTACTCTAAGGAAAGATCACGGTGGATAGCTCTCAAGAATTTGGAGAAACTGCCTAAATTACCAAAGGGTTATGGTCGTGTTAGGTTGGAGAATTGTGGTGGAAATATTTTGGTTTTTTGGGAGGAGAATGTCCGCGCTATTGGTTCTACCAAGAAGAAGATGATTAGGTGTGTTGAGGTTGCGATTGAAAAGCGAAACAGAGATGATGTTTATGGGAAGGTTGAGTGGTGTGATGTTGTGGTTACAGTCCCCAAGTCATGTTCTTTTGAGGAATTTGTTGTTGCCACTGTTTAAGTCATTGTGTGGACATGGTAATATATCAATTTGTTTTTCATTCTCAAACTGAGAATCTTATTAGCCAATTTGCCTACAGACTATTCAAACAATGAGGATTCATGTAAGCAATTCACAGCACCATAACCCACAAGATCAAAGTCATATATCTCGTAACTCGTAAGCATAATGTTGGATGAAGCAGAGTATTCATCTTGAAACTAATTAGCTCAATGGAACAGAAC